AAATCATGACCGTAATTAATTTTAAATTTTTCATTTGTATTTGAAAACCTAAAAATATTTTTTTTAAATAATTTAAAATTTTACTTATTTTTTATAAAATTATTTTTTAAAAATATAGTTTTTTAAATATAGTTTATTAATATTATTAGACAAATAAATAAATTATATTAAATTATTTTTGAAACTTTATATATTTTAAATGCAAGTATTTTACCAACTGCTTCTTACAAAAACATTAGGTTACTTGCTAATACTCTACCAATTGAGCCCAATGACACTCCGTTTATTTTCGTCACTCGAACACTGAAAAGTGAAAAGATATATGAAATTGGGTCCATTAAATTCTAAAATTTGATCTACAATTCTAATTACAATTGTTTCTGATCCTACGTATAGATAATTATATAAAAATTCTAAAATTTTAAAATGTCAAATACATATAAAACAATCATATATAAATTTTAAATTTGTCAATACTAAAATTTTATATTTTAATTACATATATTCACCCTGCGCATGGCGCAGGTCTTATCCTAGTCACATATAAAAGTGAATCAAACTTATACTGAAACAAATAACACACATTTGTGCTAACCCATACACACACATTTGATTCTATGATATAGTTAGTGGTTAGTACTCTAGTGTTTTTTTTTTCTTAATTTTTTTTTAAAAAATATTCGTTTCAAAATCAACAAAAGGAACTTCGACCTAATAAATAAATATACAATGTAAAATTTCAAATACCATATGTTCACAAAAATGTAGATTTCCTTGAATTTTTATTGTGCTTTTACTTGAATTGGTCGGGAGAAAAAAATCATTAAAATAAGAAAATGCATAAATTAATTGATAATTACAACAAATTATTTGCTTAAAACTAAAATTCTATTGGACTTACATTACATGTAATTTTTAAGTTTGTAATAGCTTTGGATAAGCCTTGTACTCTAGTGAAGACCATGCAATATAATAATCACTAAAGACAATATGATATTGAAAATAAAAGTTTTTTTTTGGATTCACCCATAGGATGAACTTATACATTTATCAATAAAATTTTATCACTTCATATTCAATTTTTGAGAAAAAAAAGAAATAAATTATTTACCAAATCATATTCTATTTTAAAAATAAAAAATAATAGTAGCTACAATTTTTTTTTAAAAATATTGTTAACGCGGTCAGCAAAATCTTAAAGACTAAACTCTAACCCTTAAACATTAAATTTTTGATAAACTCTAAATTTTTGGGTAAACTCTTAGATAAACCATAAATTTTTGGATAAACGTTAATTTTTTTTGATAAATCCTCAATCTTTGGATAAACTCTAAACATTTGGATAAACTTCAAATCTTTGGGTAAATTCCTAAATCTTAGGGTTTAGAATCTAAAGTTTATAATTTTACAGACGAAAAATTTAGGATTTAATGTTTATGATTTAGTGTGTATCTTTGGGTAAATTCTTAAATCTTAGAGTTTAAGATCTAGAATTTATAATTGTACAAACGGCATTTAAGATTTAACGTTTATGATATAGTGTTTAATGTCTATAATTTAATATTTAAGATTTATCTAAAGATTTATGGTTTATCCAAATATTTATGGTTTAGTATTTAGAATTTAGTATTTTGCTAACAACTTTAACAATATGAATTCGCAGTTAATACTATTTTTTTTAAAAAAAAAAAAAAATATATATATATATATATATATATATATATATATATATATATATATATATATATATATATATATATATAATAGGATTTCAAAAATATTTTGTCTTCTTCCCTCAAAAATTGATATAAAATGACAATCTTTTATTGGTAGGGATTGAATCTAAAAGAAAGTGTTAGAACAATATGTTCCAAGAGACTTGTTGGGACTTTTCAGTAGGACCATAGTCGTATTCCATCATCTCCTCCGTCACGAGCCCGTCATCCCTTTTCATATAAATGTAACCACTTTCATTTCATTAATTATCTGCACTGCACACGCATAACCCGACACGTCCAATCATATATGAGGAGAATATGGATTATTTTTTTCTGGAAAACCAGAATTAGAAAGAGATCTTTATCTGTGGATTATTTAGTATAACGGGAAAACACATAATGATAAATTGTCTAAAGGGATTGATAATGATCCGTTAGAGTTAGTTCGATATGCAAAGAATGAATGTCAAACTTAGTTTAATGTAAATGAAATAGTTGAGACGAACACACAGGAGCAGCACAATAAGAATGATATTAAAAAAAAATATTATGAATCATAAAATTTAAATGTAGTTTTAGGTATAATATTATGAATCATAAAAAATTAAGTGTTAAAAAAATAAAAGATAATTTTACTGTGAATATAAAACATATAATGATAGGTTGTCACTTATATAAAATATATATACATATTAATAACTAGTTTATATAAATTATTAATATTATCATTTTAATGAGACTAAATTTATATAGAATTTTAAAAATATATTATTTTATTATGTTAATGATTTGTGTCAAATTTTCAAATGGTCCAAATTGAGACCGACAAAAATGATTAATTTTATAAAAATTATTAATTTATTAAATATTAATTTATATATAGGATGACTGATCCCGTTTTCTATTTTGTTTTTAATTTTTTTGAATTTTAGTTTTTTTGATGAATCAGATATAAAACTGAAAATGCATTTAGATGTTAAGTAATTACATAAGAGCCTACAATGCATTGAACTCAGAAAAAAAAAGGGAAAGGGAGAAACCTTCGATATTGTTTGTGTTAGAAGCTGCTCCACTGCTAATTGTCACAGATTTTCTCCTACGAAAATGTGAAAGCAGAAGGTTAATTTCTTAAACTTAGTAATGAATTATCTACAGTGAATTAAGAGGTCCCTTAAGGGAATACATGTCTTGTGTGCATAATACTCATACTGAAAACTGAACAACTACTCTGCCACAAGAGATGAACTTCCACTACACAAGTACACACACTTTTAGAACTGAAGCAACACTGAATATGACCGACTCCTGACTGTTCTTTTTGTTAATCAAATATACAATTGGGGCCTTTTTCCATTTACATATATACACACATTTCTTGCATATTTTGATTTCTTTACCATCTTCCTCGGGATCAACTGTACAGAAACCAAAGGGTCAGTCAAGACCAGCTTGATCAGATTACTAGTAATAACCAAACCTGTTTGATTTGAGAAACAGCGATTGCCATGCATAGGAGGAGATTTTAACCAGAGATTCACAGATCGAGCAATCCACAAATCAACGTCTGATAGAAAGAAAAAAACACACACACAATTTATGGAGATTTTAACCACAGATTCAATGTTGCTGTAAAGGGTTAGCTTGAAGAGAAAGTAAAGAGTTTAATTATTATACCATGAGTTCCAACATGAGAATGTCATAGACTACTCATAGTGAGAGAAGAAGTTGCCTTTAACGGTCTGGTGGGTGTGAGGCCACAACGTAACAGCCACAGACAGACACACTGCTTCCCACTTCTAGGCCACTTTGAGCAAACCTGCAAAACACAAGCAAGCAAGCAAGCAAGCAAACACACGAAAACAAGAAAACACACAAGCAAACCCAAACCAGCAAAATATTTCAGAAAACCGTTGAAGATACGAGAGGGGAAACTCTTAATTGCCTGATTGATTAGGAACCATAAAGTGAAGTGATCCATAAGTGTAAAAAGGTAAAAAGAAGTATAAGGATCGCTAAACACCACTGATAAATCAATGACAAGACCTGCATCCAATTTGTTTTACACGTTCTGAATCTCAACCTAAGTGTCTCACTAATCAATCCATTAATATAGCATCTCCCCCTCAAAACCAAAAAGATTTTGACAAAGAAAAAAAACATTTTAGAAAACAGAGAAATTCATCACACAACACAAAGAGACTAATGAAAAAGATTTTGATTATATACCTTAGGAAATCACCCACGACTGACAAAACCGTGTCTAGTTTTTTTGTCTAGACTCGAGAATTGTCCTGTGAAGTAGATGTTCGTGTCCCTCGGACGATCAAAATCAAAAACCATGATTGTACATGCTCGAGACACGTGGTGGCTTCCCGTGAATATGCTCACCTATTAAGCGAAAATTCAAGAAGAACAGATGATAAACAAAAGATACTATGAAAATAACAGGAGACATATCATGACGGGTCTAGAGATCCATTAACAGACAGAAAGTTAAATGGAGACAAAACATGAACAGTAACCTAACATTGTGTAATAAGATGACATAAAAACTCTGTAATTGCTATATTCTTTAGTTCTCTAATAATCGATTTGGGTAGCTCTATACTGATCATAATAAGCTTACATCTTTGATTTAAAAGGAAACGAATGCTAGAAGAACCTAGAAACGATAAAATATGATAAGCAAATCCACAAGAACAAGCAAGCAAATTGCGCAAGAGAGAGAGAGAGAGAGAGAGAGAAGAAACTCACTGAAGAAAAAGAAGTATCAGAGATAGGGAAAGACAAAAGGTTTTTAAAAGTTATATGAGCTTTGGAGATGACCGTTGCAAAATTATTATTATTTTTTATTTGTTCTTTTAGCTGGAAATTTTGCTTTTATGATTAGAATCTTAAATCAAACAAGTTAATTATTTTTATTTGATTTTTTGTTCCATAATAACGACATTTATACAGAGGCTTCATCTCTACTACAAGGGTATATAAATCGTATGACCATCTTTTACACATGTTAATTATTTTTATTTGATTTTTTGTTCCAGAATAACGACATTTATACGGAGGCTTTTTGTTTTGTCACTACACTACCAAGACCGGTCTAAGAAATCACCTGCTTATAAACTTCTCTACGGTGAGAAAAATGAGAGAACCAACATGCAAAGAAAACTAAAACAAAACAATGTATGTCTCTACGGTGAGAAAAATGTTGCAGTACAAAAAAAACTGCAATGGAGTAATCATAATATTCTTCTAAGGATGGGATTCTAAAAGAGGTAAGAATCAGAAGAATCCTTTGCTTTGTAGTTCAAGCTGATCAAAGCAGAAACTGGACCTAACAGCAGTTAACATAAGCCTCCCAGTCCATTCTTCTCCTGGCTTCAAAGTGATTGGTCTCTCAATTGCTGCCCCATCCACACAAAGCATGCTTCTGTACTCCTCGTCCCCAAAATCCACCATGCTTTTAGCTTTCTTCTCCCATGGATTCCACACCACTGCATCATCATTATCATAACTAATGAAAAGCCCATATCATGTAATAAAAACTAGTAATCAACTGTCTGTTCTTTACCAGTATCTGGAAGTCCATCCTTTTCAATAACATATGTTCTTTTCCGTTCATGGTCAAGAACTGCTACCACTTTGGGTGACCCAAGGTAAGTCCTGTCCATCTGAAACCAAAAGTAACATTACTGATATTACTTAACTAAAAGATAACTAAAAGATAGCTTTGTTCTTCACTATACATGTTTGCATGATCTTTACCTCAGATTCAAAGGTTAATGCGTCGCATTGTTCAGTCAAAAGCTCTCTTTTGCTGAGGTTGTCCAAGTAGTCCAATGTCTCTAACCCTTCAACCCTTACTTCACTATTAAACCCAAAAAAAAAATAGATGAATAATACACCAAAAACACATAATCTTTTGCTGTCTTTTGTAACGAGTTTAGAAGTACCTTATATCTGAGACAGAGAGGTAAGTATGATAAGCGAATAAGAAGCAAAATGGCTTGCCATTGATGTTTCTAACGCGAGAAGTCAATGTTAATTCTCCATCTATGGTAAGTGAAACTCGAAGACGGAGCTCATAACTACAAAGGGAAACACACACATACATTAGCATCTATAAAGAGAAAGAAGATAAAAAAATAAAAAAAAGGCAAGTGGTGATGATGTTTTTTTACCTGTGAGGCCAATGCTTTAATTCCTCTTCAGATGGCTTCAGAAGAAGATCAACAAATGATTTTTCTAAGGATTCCTTTGAGTTAAGAGGAGGTGGGTTCTCATCCATCACCCATATTTTGTTCCTTGCAAACCCATGTTGATCCAATATTCCACAATCTCCAAACTTCAAATAAATAAAAAAAATGGTAAACCATTCTCCGGAAAGAGAATGTGAAAGCCCCGGTGGCCACACGTTATGAAAATTTGGTGTGGTGCGGATTTGAACTCGGGTTCCTTTAGGGATCCACGAAACGACTTGACCACCCAACCACAGACGCGTGGTTAACTTTAAATACACACACACAATTCTATTACAATGTTCAAAACATAAAGACATGTGAGAGAACACTAAGCTACCTGAGGATAGCAAATCTGAATCCCTCCACGCATTGATTTTGGGTGTTTGAATGTAGCCTAAACAATATTAAATGTTAAAACGTCAGATCTTTGTGTTTCTTCTTTGTTATGTTTCAAGGGATACTACTATTACATACATACCTTGTTGCTAGTGAAAAGAAGCTCTTCGCCTTTGTCATTCCTCCACGAAACCACTTGTCCTCCATGTAAACTAACCTACAAAACCAAACCCAAAAAAAGACATTAAGTCTAAAGAAACTCGACTTTGAGAGAGATAAGAAAAAAAAAGTTTGAAACCTTTGCAGAAGCGCCACGAGGGTTTCTGAGAAGGACTTGGTCAATGCCATTCCAGTCTTTAGTTATCTCAATACCTGCTTTATGATCCCACACTGCTGCTGCGTAATGACCCATTTCTTCTCTCTCGCACAGAAAGTTTACTTCTTTTTGTTCTCAAAATTTTGAAAATCTCAAGAACGTTCCGACAAGTTGTCTGTCTCTTGTCTTCACAGCCCAAGCAAAAAGACAAAAGAGCTTCTTTTTTTTTTATCTCACAAAAAACTCATGACCATGACCTTTTAGATCTGCAAATCTTAATAATCTTTTGTTACTTTTAAGTACTCTCATCTGAAAGGAATTAATGAAAAAGGACAGAGAAGGTAAACACCTGGCGATAGAATCTGCAAAAACACCTTTTCTTGGATTATATACTTGATTAATTTATTAATATCATTATGGTATTAACAAAAAAAGAGATTAAGATCTGAATAAACTCAACAAAAAATAAATAAAACCAAGAAAAAGTTTGATAGACTTGAAAGATTAGTAATGAAGAGAGATAGATCTTTTGGTGGGTTTTATAGGAGTTTTTTAAGAGGAGGGTACGTGCATTGCTTCAGATAGACACGGCGGAAACACTACTGAACTTTCTTCATGTTAATATACGGAAATAAAGACTTTTTTATTAACCTATTATAGTATTAAATTTTTATTTTTTTGAATACCATTTTGTGTGTGTTTTTGATAATGTCCAGCCTGTTGTCTTTAATTAAATAAAAGATACATACATACAGACATAAATTTTTGAGGTTTAGAGGAGAAGAATGATAATAATAATAATAATAATACCTTAATTACTGGACTAAATCCTTGGTGCCCGCACGAGCATACCGATACCAGTAAAAAAAAAAACTATTGGTCTTTCTTTAATCTGTACTATTGATTTATTCTATATACTAGTATTATTTTTGTTGCTATTTCATAACAAAATTACAACACAAAAAGCATTATATAGGTTTTTTTTTGGGAAAAAATATAGGTATTTTTTTTTGGGAAAAAATATAGGTTTTTTTTTTGTTAAAAATTGTAACAAAATGTAACATCAAGATTCCATGTATCCTCTCTCTGACTCATGACTGTCTCTATTAAATAAAAATGATTGGAGTACACTAGATGACACCGTACCACGTGTACGATATCCAACCAACGGTCACTTTCCATTCGAAATCTTTTGGATTTTAATTGTGGAGAGAATTTTAAAAGACCAACTCAACCACAACGCTTGGCTCAGGTCAAGAGAGAGGTCTATTTCAATCCAAGTAGATAGTTAAAGTATTCTTTAACCATATGATATGAACCTAGTTCTGTTAAAATGACTAATGTATTTGTTTTGTAGGACAATGATGAGCCAACTTCCTTCTCCTCCACGGCTCTGTTAGGGTTTAGGTCTACTTCTTTTCAACCCTCTCTTCCTTATAAAGCAAGTTATGAAGACTTAAGACGCAGATTGCATAGAACATAGTTCATAATACAATCTAACGCTAAGAAGGAAAGCAATTTTAATAAACCAAGACAAGAAGAGTAAAGCATAAACATAAAGATAAATCAAATCCAAACGGCATTTACATCCCCTTTAAATGTCGCTGATTTAGAAAAGTTTTAAAAGAAACTATAAACTTCAAAAGTCTAAAAAAAAAAAAAAAAAAAAAA